AAAAGTCAGTTCTTGGGGACAGCAGCTCTGGGTCCCCTCCCCATCTGGGGAGTCTGTCTCTTTGTTGTTTTGCTGTATATATATGCTTTGCTTTCAATAAAAATCTGGCTGAGCACTGGGAGGTGGTACCCCACGCCTTTAACACTGGCATTCAGAAGACAGAGGCAGGTGGATCTCTGTGAGTTCAAGGCCAGGCTGATCTAGTAAGTTCCAGAATGGCCAGCGCTATTACTTGTTCGAGAAATCCTGTCTCAAAAGAACAACAACAAAAATTCTGAGTCTTGAGAAAGAAAAAAAAAGGTCAGTTATAGGACAATAGAGAGAGACACGACCATGATGAAACCGAAAGATAGAGAAAGAAGCTGAAGATTCTGGAAAACGTTGCTTTTAACAGTCTTTTTATATTTTTAGATAACGTGTAAGATGGCTGGATATTATGCTCCTAAAGGCTGCCTCCTCCAGGGAGCACAAGCAATCTCGACACTGGGGACCTCGCATCCTTAGTCTTTCTGCCTCAGTTCTGGCTATGCCTGACTCCCTCATCGGAGTGTGGTGCCAGAGGCAAGGGAAGGAAGCCCAGGCAAGCGACCAGAGAGCTCTTCTGTCTCTGGGAGCGACTCACTTCCGCTCCCACTGTGTCCTGCAAGCTGAATCATGGTTCACACTGACAATGAGTTACAAGGCACTAATAGTTCTGGATCCTTGTGTAGTCTTGATGTTCACAGAAGAATTCCTATAAAACTCATCTCCAAGCAAGCCATCAGTGTTAAACTTGCACGTCGAACTCAAAGGACTATTAGTAGGATGCCTGCAAAGGCCCCACCAGGTGATGAAAAAGAATTTGATTATAATGAAGAACAATGGTATGACTGTAAAGGAGGCGAACTCTTTGGAAAACAACGAAGATTTCCTGGATATGTTTTTGGGATTGAGACAGGGTTTCTCTGTATTGCTTTGGAGGCTGTCCTGGAACTAGCTCTGTAGACTAGGTTGGACTTGAACTCACAGAGATCTACCTGCCTCTGCCTCCCGAGTGCTTGGATCAAAGGCGGGTGCCACCAACACGGGGCTTTTTTTTTTTTTTTTTTTTTTTTTTGGATTCTAAGATAAACATCTTAGGTGAAAAGGATCATACTCCAGTTCATTTCTGTGACAAATGTGGATTGCCTATCAAAGTCTATGGGAGAATGATTCCATGCAAGCATGCCTTTTCCTATGACTGTGCTATTTTACATGGGAAAAAGGGAAATAAGATGAGCACAGGCTATAGTGATCCTGTGCAGCGGAATGAACAGTGTACACGAGGCTCTCTCTTCATGTGTGGCATTGTTCAAGGTTGCAAGAGAACAACCTACCTGTCTCAGAGAGACCTACAAGCTCATATCACCCATCGCCATATGAGAGCTGGAAAGCCTGTTACCCATGCTTCACTTGAGAATGTCCATCCTCCTATTGCCCCACCACCAGCCGACATCCCTGATCAGTTCTTAATGCCACCAGACAAGCATCACGTGCGCCTCCGAAGCAGCACATCATGATGCTACCACCTCCTTTGCAGCATGTGCCACACGAGCACTATCATCAGCCACTCGAGGATATTTGCGCTCCTCCGGCAGAATTGTCCATGGCCCTACCTCCACCTCGTTCTGTCAGTCAGGAAACCTTTCATATTTCAACAAGAAAGCACAGCAATTTAATAACTGTCCCTACTCAGGACGACTCAAGTTCAGGTGCGAGAGAACCACCACCTCCTGCCCCAGCACCTGCTCACCACCACCCCAAGTACCAGGGCCAGCCAGTGGTGTCTCATCCTCATCATATTCCTCCTCCACAGCAGCACTACGCACCACCCCCTCCTCTCCACCACCAATGCCACCAAAGCCATCCAATGCCACACCCTCCCCAGGCTGTAGGTATTCCTCACTCTGCTCCACCACCAATAACCCCTCCCCCTGAACATATCATTGCCCAGATGCCACCTTATATGAATCATCTTCCTCCAGGACACCCCAGCATGGTGGTCCACCTGTAACTGCACCCCACCCTCACCATTACAATCCTACCTCTTTACTCCAGTTTACTGAAGATCAAGGAACTCTGAGCCCTCCATTTACACAACCAGAAGGAATGAGTCCTGGTGTATAGCCTGCACCACCAGGATGGCCACCACCTACATAAATGCAGGGCCCACCTTCTCAAACCCCACTACCTGGATCACATCATCCAGATCAAACAAGATACAGACCACATTACCAGGGATAATAGTGTTTTGAACTGAAGATATGACAAGGAAAAAGATTAAATTAATCGATCTTTTAATTGAGCTTTGACTGCTGGGGAAAGGAAAAATTACCTCTCATGAGGTGGCTATAAAAAGTCTTGTCCCTTAAAATGGTTTTAAATTTTGGCCTTAGGATTGCTTTCAAATACTATACGGTAGTGCAGATATGTGGCTCGGTTGAGCACAACTGTATCTTAGCAACTGTTACTTTGTTGTGGTAAATTGACCCAGAAATGGCCATTTGTAAAAAGAATTAATTTTTTTCGATGTTCCATTTTCAAAATTACTGCTTTTATTAAACCCAATATTGAGTTTTTCTTGTGATGCATTTTTGTTAACCTAAATAGGATTACATTCAAGATGGTTGTAAAGGAAAAAAAGGTATCTGGGTGTTATGGTACATGTATTAATCCCAGCACTAGAGAGCCAGAGCCAGAGGCAGGGGGTTTGCTGTGAGTTCAAGGCCAGCCTGGTCTACACAGTGAGTTTCAGGACAGCCAGGACTACATAGAGGGATCTTGTTTCAAAAAACAAAAATATAAAACAATCAGCAGCAACAACAAAAAATTCAGAGTGATGGAAAGTTTTTACAACATCAAGCTGAAAGTTTCTGTCCATGAATTCAGCAAAAAAATAATAACCAAAAATTCAAACAACCCAGTTTCCATTGCTATGATAATGAAGTTAACCAAAAGTCATTATGCCATAACCAGTGAGTTCTTTATTGTGTGGAATGTGGTCCTATTCTAGAACTGTAAATAATGCCAACCACTGTCTTTAAATTGAGCTGGGTGAGGTGGCACACAACTTTGATTCCTGTTTTTAATCCCAGCACTCAGGAGGCAGAGGCAGAACTGTCTCTGTGAGTTTGAGTCCAGCCTAGTCTACATAATGAATTCTGGGACAGGCAGGGTTACATAAAGATACTATGTCTCACAAAATAAAATATAACCAAAACTTTAAATTGTAATACCCCTTTGACAGATGAAACATAATTTCTAAACCTTGACTTTTGTTTTGTTTTGTTTTGAGAGAGGGTTTCTCTGTGTAACAGCCCTGCCTGTCCTAAAACTCACTCTGTAAACCAGGCTGACCTCCAACTTGCAGAGATCCACCTGCTTCTGCCTCCTGAGTGCTGAGATTAAAGGCATGAGCTACCACTACTGCTGGGCATTTAAACCTTGGCCAGGCAATGGTGGTGCATGCTCTTAATCCCAGCACTGGGGAGGCAGGGGCACACAAAACTCTGAGTCTGAGGCCAGCCCAGTCTACAGAGTGAGTTTCTGGACACCCAGGGCAACACAGAGAAACTCTTTTCTTTCTTTCTTTCTTTCTTTCTTTCTTTCTTTCTTTCTTTCTTTCTTCCTTCCTTTCTCTTTCTTTCTTCCTTCCTCCCTTTCTCTCCCTCACTCCCTCCCTCTCCTTTCTTCTTTTCTTCTCCTTCCCCCCTCCTTCCTTCCTTCCTTTCTTTTTTTTTTGGAGACAGGGTTTCCCTGTGTAGCCCTAGCTATCTTGGAACTCATTTTGTAAATCAGGCTCAGGCTAGCCTTGAACTCAAGAGATCCAGCTGAGAAACCTTTTCTTCAAAAACAAAAACAGAAGGTCATGGTTTAAAGTAGCAAAAGTAGAAGCAGGCGTATCTTATGATTTCGAGGCCAGTCTCTAGTGTAGCAGTATAAAACCCAGCACTCGGGAGGCAGGGGCTGGCGGATCTCTGCGAGTTCGAGACCAGCCTGGTCTACAAGCGCTAGTTCCAGGGCAGCCTCTAAAACACAGAGAAACCCGGTCTCGAAAAACAAAACAAAAAACCCAAAGACCAAAAAAACATAAAAACTTTATCCCGGCTGGCAGTTGCAGGGAAAAGTAAAACAAGCAGTTTAATTGAAGCCAAAAACATGCAGTTATCTGGGGCATTTCAACCCCTAATTTCTAATTTCTAGAACAGGGTTGGGTAGTTTTCCACAGCACAAAAGAGGTGTGTGCGTCAATCAGGTTAACATTGAGGAATCTTTGCCCTGTCACTCCAGGACGTCCAGGGCTTCATAGAAATAGAAAGATCATGTTCGCTCCAAAAGGCAAAAATGGTATTCAGCGCTGGGAATGTTAAGATAGAATCAATCACGTCTGCTCTTTGCCAATCCCGTGCCTGGGAACACAAACTCTTGGAGGTGGAGCACCCTCAGGCACTCACCACTTAGTGACAGACTCCAGGGCCTATCGCTGGGAAGCTTCGCTTTCGGAACCGGAAGTGACCCTAAAAGGCGGGATTATAGTGAGTTATAACAGAGACTTCCGGCAAGGAGAAGGTGTGATTGGTCGTATTTGAGAGAGGGGCGGGACCCGGGCAATTCAAAAGAGAGAAGTGGGGGCCGCGAAGAAGGGAGGAGTATGGACATTGAAGCTAAGTCGAAGCCGAGACGACGGAAGATGGCGGCGGCCACTTCAGGTACGCGGGTCGAGAGAGCCAGGCATCGCAGTGTGAAACTTACGGAGCTGTGGTTGACCCGGAGAATCCAGGTGGCGTGGTGCGGAAGGGCGGGCGTGGTGGGCGCCGCAAGCCCCTGTCTCTACTCGCTGCCATCGGCGGCATAAACCGGCTGCCGGGCTCCGGTGCCGGTCTGGAGCCTGCCACTGCTTTGTGCGCTTCAGCTGGCTCGTCTGTGAAGAGACGTGTGTCTGGGTGCCCAGACATCTCAGGAGATTCTCCGGGTGGCTGAAGGCTGTACTCGACGGCGGTGTGAATTCCGGCAGAGAGAAGTCAAAGACAGTTTCCTTCCCCTCTAGCCATGGAGTCGGATGCTGTGGTCATGTTGGAAAGGCTGTCAGGAGTTTCAGAGTCTGTCCTAACCTTCTTTAGACCGAATTCTGGCCTGTGACTACTGTTTGTTCCGCCTTTGGGGAGGCAGGCATTTAGGAGAACGCCTCTCCTCAGGCAGAGCCGCAAATACTTTGTGAATAATCATTTAATGTCTTTACAGAGATCTGAGGTGATTGCTGTTAATGTTCAGGTTTTTTAAGGAAAAGGTTTATTGTTATCTGTGTGCGCCACCTATATGTGGATGCCCGCAGGGGCCTGAAGAGGGAGTTGATCCTATAGGGCTGGAGTTACCGGTGGTTGTGAGCCACCTGGTGTGGGTGCTGAGAACCAAAATAAGGCCCTATGGAAGAATAGTATTCACTCTTAAACGCTAAGGCTCACCAGCTCCCTGTATTTGTTGGGCAAGAGGAAACAGGCATAAATGAGCTAAGTGGCTTGTTCAGTTCAAGGTAACACAACTAGCAAATATTGGGGGAGAGGGGTGTCTAAATTCACATTCAGGTAATTATATTGTAATGCCACTTCCCTTGACGATTATGCCCAAATACAGGCTGTGTCTGGTATATAATAAATACTGAAGTATCAATGAATATTGCCCCTTTCCTAGAGGAAGTTACAATCATTTTCAAGTAATCTCATAAATTAATGTAATGTGAAGAAAACAATGGTAGATAGGCATAAACTTGTAGTGTAGAATCTGAAACCAACCCTTGGGTATTTTGAGAAGGCTTTATTAAGAAAATGATAGCTTCACAGGTCAGCATTGGCACACATCTTTAATCCCAGCACTTGGGAGGCAGAGGAAGTTGGATCTCTGAGTTCTACAAAGTGAGTTCCAGAACAGGCAGGACTATGCAGAGAAACCCTGTCCTGAAGAAACAAAAACAATAATGGCAAAAAAAAAAAAAAAAAAAAAAAAAAAAAAAAAAAAAAAGAAAAAGAAAAGAAAGAAAGAAGGAAAAGGAAAAAAAAGAAAACTTGCTCTTCCAGAGGAGCTGGGTTCAGTTTCCATCGCCTACATGGTGGCTCACAACTCTCTCTAACTCCAGTTCCAGGGAATTCAAGGGCATTAGTCATACACAAGGTGGACATAAAACAAGCAGGCAAAACATTCATGCACATAAACAAATAAATATGAAAATGGTGGTTAAAGTAGGGTTCAAAGCTTGGGTGGGCAGCATTTTGCTCAACCTTGAAAAGGACAAAAGAACAAATGTTATTTAGACATAAAAAAGGACAATTTTTATTTTATTTTGTTTTGTTGAAACAGGGTTTCTCTGTAGCTTTGGAGCCTGTCCTAGAACTGGCTCAGTAGACCAGATTGGCCTCAAAATCAGAGATCCACCTGCCTCTGCTCCCCAAGTGCTGGGATTAAAGGCATGCTACACCACCACCTAGCTGTTTTTAGATTTATTTGTTAGTTTTAATGTGCATGAGTGTGTGTGTGTGTGTGTGTGTGTGTGTGTGTGTGTGTGTGTGTGTATACACTATGAGAGTGCCTGGTATTTGTGGAGATCAGAAGAGGGTATCAAATTCACCTGGGATTGGAGTTTTAAACAGCTGTGTGCTGCCACATAGGTGCTAGGAATAGAACCCAGAGTCCCCTGCCAGACCACTCTGTGCGCTTAACTGCTGAGTCAACTTTCCATCATTGCCTGCTGTTCTTACCCAGGACCTGGGTTCCATTCCCAGCTTCCGTGTGGACAGGGTGGCCTATAACCATCAGTAGGCATGCATGTTTCCATATACACCCAGGCAGGCAAAATACTCATAGCATAAATAAATCTAAGGAATTCAAAACAAAAAACCCACCAAGTAATTAAAAACAGGATTTCTTTTTAAATCAAGTACCAGAAGATAAGCACTTTTATATAAATTTCCTTCATTATTCTAACAACCCCAATGAACAGGTTTCTTGTTTTGTTTGTTTTTTGTTTTCTAGACAGGGTTTCACTGCATAGCTTTGGCTGTCTTGGAACTTGCTCTGTAGACCAGACTGGCCTCCAGCTCAGAGAACTGCCTGCCTCTGCCTCCCAGTGTTAGGATTAAAGAGTTGCACCACCATCTGGCTGCTTCTTCGTTTTCTACTGCACGGTTTTACCTACTTTCTCCTTGCTTTCAAGTTGTCATAAGCAGCAAATGAAAATTGGATGTTCAAGTGCTTTGTAATCACAGGGTGTAGCATTTGTCAGATATAGGGCAGAGGCCTGTATTCCAAACAGCCTACCTACTTAATATCTGTCTCATGTTTAGCTTCCCCTTAAGCAAAAGGCATCCTTGGGCTTCCCAGCAAAGTTGGTTCCCATTTCTTTGTGCTTCTACAAAATTTTAACACCTAAAACTGGTCTCTTCCAGGAGTTGGTCGCTGCCCAAGCAAGGTAGGGGCTAGCCGGCGCCCACCTCCAGCTCGAGTAAGGGTAGCTGTACGACTGCGGCCATTTATGGATGAAGCAACAAAAGCAAACGAACTCCCCTGTGTACGAGGCATAGACAGCTGCTCTCTTGAGGTGGCCAACTGGAGGAAATACCAGGAGACACTCAAGTATCAGTAAGGTTCAAGCTACCTTCTGTCTAGGCCTGCTCATTTGATCACTTAGCAGTTTCTGAGATCTGCCTCTTGGGATCCTATTCCTTCCTAGGCAAAGCTTTGTTCTCCAAACCTTCATTTGATGATTTAGATGTTCATGGTGTACAGGTAAATACCGTAGAGAAAGACTAGAGGTTTGAACTGGATGTCAATCTTGGGGAAATTGGGACAAAGGGAGGAAGGAGCAGTGTAGCCCCCAAATAGGTTCTAGAAAATACATGGAAAGGGTAGGTAAACAGACATCGTAGCCAATCCAGAGACCATGCAGATTTGGGAATGGCACACAAGAGGGCAACTACTTAAAAACTCTATAGGGTTTTAAAGTTTAAACTTGGCCTATTAGTCTAGCCTAGGGGATGGCAAACCACATCCCACAGATCAAGTCAAACCAGGAGTCTTCCTTTTTGGTTGTTTCTTTTAAACAAGGTCTCATAAAACACAGGCTGGCCTTGAACTCCCGATTCTCTTGCCTTACCTCCTGAGTGTTGGGATCACAGGTGTGTGCTGCCATGCCCAGCTCAGGAGACTTTTCTGTAAATAAAATTTTACCATTTATTTACTTAGTGTAGCTATTTGACTAGCCTTAGAGTTAAGTGGTTGTGAAAGGAACCACATAGTCACAAAACTTAAAATATTTGTTGTCTGGTTCTTTATAGAAAATTAGTTTGCTCTAGTTCTAGGTCCTTAATAGTTTGGCTTCTGTTCCTTCCCAGTCTTCTCTTGTCAGCGGGCACTAAATTCTACGTCTCAGTGAATGAGCTGGGTTTAAATCTAGGCTGGCCTTTTATCTACCCTGCTAAAGTGCTACCTCAAGAAAAATGTTGGGAAGCCCTTTCACATCACGTTGTATGATGCTATTACTGTGGACAATATAAACAAATGTCTACTCACCCCAGAGTGGGAACCAACTAAGGACCAAAGTAAGGATACCACCCAGACATCCAACTTGATGATCCAATAAGTTGTATTGGGTTTACTTACAGGATTATGTAAGTTATAATAAGTAAGTTACTACAGGAGCAGAAATGACTCAAAGACAGCCACATCACCAAAGCCCACCCCAGGATAGCTGACAGCTCACAACAGCTGGGAACCTAGGGAACACTGAACTGCCTGCAGGCAGTGAGCCTCTTCCAAGCTCTGCTGGTCTGAGTAGGACTCTCAGCAGCCCTTACTGCTTTATATGCTTGGGGAGGGAGGAGACTATTTACCTGGTTGGGCTTGGGGGACTTCTGAAGCCTTTGCCTTACTTCCTGAGCTTAGGTTTCCTTCCAAAATGAAAATTGCTACACAAAACACTGTGTCTTGTTTCTGTATCCTTCTGTTTGGCAATGCTTCTTTCTCTCTCTCATTTATTCCTTCTAGTGTGTTCTTATCTTTGTCTCCTGAATCATTGCAAAGCATGGGTATCTGGCCTACCAGATTGCAATATGAGATGATTTCTGTTTCCTATTGTCAGTACAATGACTAGAATACAGTAGATTTACTTTCAAGGTCCTCGTTCAAGAAATGGGACAGAGCCTTTAAAGCCATCATCATCTAGGTTTGGGGTGTGGACACAACAGCCTACTAATGGCCTCCTTTTTCTGCCTACAGGTTTGATGCCTTCTATGGGGAGAAAAGCACTCAACAGGACATCTATGTAGGTTCAGTACAGCCCATCCTAAGGCACTTGCTGGAAGGGCAGAATGCCAGTGTGCTCGCCTATGGGCCTACTGGGGCAGGTGAGACAGCCAGAACTATGCATGAGAAAGAGCTGGGAAAACTGAGAATAAATTCACAGCATTTTCCATTCTTTCCCTAGGGAAGACACACACAATGCTGGGCAGCCCAGAACAGCCTGGAGTGATTCCCAGGGCTCTCATGGACCTCTTGCAGCTTACAAGGGAAGAAAGCGCAGAGGGCCGGCCTTGGGACCTTTCTGTCACTATGTCCTATTTAGAGATCTACCAGGAAAAGGTGAGGTGTCAAAGTAAGAGTGCCTCCTGGAACATGACACTCTGCTCTAGTCTAAAGAGGTGTGGCAAGTCCTGGAAAGTTGGAGCTAGGGTATCAGATGGAAGAATTTGACAATCCAATAGACACAAGAATCCTAAATCCCCACAAAGCAAGCACCCTCTTCATGGAGAAGTGACCTTACTATCCTTGCTCAAATAGGTATTAGACCTCTTGGATCCTGCATCAGGAGACCTAGCAATCCGAGAAGACTGTAGAGGAAACATCCTGATTCCTGGCCTCACACAGAAGCCCATCACTAGCTTCTCTGAGTTTGAGCAACATTTCCTGCCGGCCAGTAGAAATCGAGTTGTAGGAGCCACCCGACTTAACCAGCGCTCTTCCCGTAGTCATGCAGTACTGCTGGTCAAGGTAAGGCCCGCTGACAGAAGGGCCTCGGAAGCTCTTGAAGCCTAAGCTAAGACTGGGTCCCTTGCTCTTCTCCTAGGTGGATCAGCGTGAACGCCTGGCTCCATTTCGCCAGCGGGAAGGAAAACTCTACCTTATTGATTTGGCTGGTTCAGAGGACAACCGTCGCACAGGCAACCAGGGCATTCGGCTCAAAGAGAGTGGAGCCATCAATTCCTCCCTCTTTGTACTGGGCAAAGTGGTGGATGCCTTAAACCAGGGCCTCCCTCGTATACCATACCGGGACAGCAAGCTCACTCGCTTATTGCAGGTCATGTCCACCCATATTGGATCAAAAGGGACTGGAGAAGGCAGCTCTTAGGCCTCCTGGTTAGGGTAGTGGGAATTGTTCTCAAGGGATAGGAAGGCTGGGAGTCTGAACCATATTCAATTCTTACTCTCAGGACTCCCTGGGTGGCTCAGCTCATAGCATCATCATTGCCAACATTGCTCCAGAAAGACGTTTTTACCTGGATACAGTCTCAGCGTTGAACTTCACTGCTAGGTCCAAGGAAGTGATTAACCGGCCTTTCACTAATGAGAGTCTACAGCCTCATGGTGAGGACTGGGAAAGACAGTGGAATGGCCAGGACAATTGGGGAGTTTGCTAAAACCACTGAGCACCAGCACTGAAGCTGACCACTCTGATTCTCCTTTATATCCCTCCAATCTTCTCAGCCTTAGCACCTGTTAAGCTGTCTCAGAAAGAACTGCTAGGCCCGTCAGAGGCAAAGAAAGCCAAAGGCCCTGAAGAAGAATCTACTCAGAGCCCTGAGTCTACAGCAGCTCCAGCCTCTGCCTCCCAGAAACTAAGGTGAGAGTCAGGCCTTCCCTGCAGAATCTCTAATAGCTGTAGGCTTACAAGAGGTTTAGCTTATGTACCTTTTCCCCAGTGAATTCATTCTCAGACCTATTCTAAATTCACCAAAGGGCCAAATTGTTACTCTGGATAAGGGCAAGCCCAGAAATGGGGCATATCAAACTCAGACTCTGACCTTGAGGATTCACTTTTAGGAGAGGGGAACCTAAGGTTATAAAGCCAGGTAGATAAAGCAGAAAAGAATGTCACTGGGCAGTAAATCCCATGCCTTTAATCCCAGTGCTTGGGAAGCAGAGGTAGACAAATCTCTGAGTTCTAGGCCAACCTGGTCTACAGACTGAGTTCCAAGACAGTCAGGGATATGCAGAGGAACCCTGTCTCTAAAAATAACAACAACAAAAAAAAAAAAAAAAAAGGCTTGTTTTGTGAAACTTAGGTAGAATTGTTTCCACTTTTTGCCTACCTTTTCCAATGCTGCTCTTCTAAGGCTTGTACATAACAGGACAGGGTCAATGTCATTATGGAGCTAGTTCATTGCAGCACAGATACGGCATTTTTGGAAGACAACATCTTCACTTGTGAAAGGCAATTTTCAGCAGAGGTGAGGGTGAAGATTTCAAGAAGAATGAAAATGGCTAGAAGTTACTGTGCTCAGATAGCCAGAACTGCTAGAACAAGACTCTTCTGTATATAGCCCACTGGATAAAGGCTTCTCATCCTAAGTCTCCAGTGGCTATCTTATACCTGCTAATGAGAACCTCTCCTATGAAGCTTCCCCCACTTGCTTACAAATGGCCAAGCCCTCAGCTCTTACTCTTCTTTTCATGTGTATGTATGTGCTTGCAGCATGCATATGTATGTGTACACATGCATGTGGAAGCTTGTGGTTGATGCTGAGAATCTTCCCCAATCACTCTTCCACCTTCTTCATTGAGAACTCCCTGCTGTAGCTAGTGTTTGTCGCTTGCTTGCTTGCTTGGAATATCCTGTGTCTACTACCTTCTGAGGCTACAATTATAGGCAGGCTGCCACATCCACTTGGTAATTACTGTGATCCAACTTCCAGGCCTCTTGCTTGCATGGCAAGTATTTTAATTGCTGAGTTATCTCCCCAGCTCTCTTCTTTTTCACAAACAAGTGCCTCCTAGACAGGGCAGTATGGTAGGTCCATAATGTTTGGCATCCAGTGCTTATTAACTGCTTTTCATTTGATATTCTGGCATCCTGAGAGTTTACTTCAACTGATAAAGACACTATACTCAGTGGTAGTTAACTGTTTAGAGTTCACAAACAACACCAAATCAAGGCATGACAATCTGGCTCCACTGGAGGTGATGAGAGAGGAGGTAGGTGGAAGTGGAAGTAACCTTTTTTTTTTCCTTACTCAGTGTCTTACAGAAGCTAAGCAATATGGACCCAGCTATGTTGGAGAACCTCCTTAGCTTGGATCGTTTGCTGGGCTCCCAGGGGAGCCAAGGGACACCTTTACTGAATACCCCAAAGCGAGAGCGAATGGTACTCATTAAGACAGTGGAGGAAAAAGACTTGGAGATTGAGGTAATTGTTGGGGAAAGTGACCTAATATTTCAGCCAGCTTTGAGAAGCATTCCTAGAATCCATTTCTCATAGGATTTATATAATGTATATGGGTTTTGTGCTGACATGTATGTCTGTGAACTACATGTGTGTAGTGCCCGGGAGACCAGAAGACGGTGCTGGGTACCCTGTTAAGAGACAGTTATGAGCTACCATGTGGGTACTAGGGTTCAAACCTGGGTTAAGAAACAATAGAGATCAGATAAGAGAGGGGCAAATCCAAATTAAAAATGCATTACCTTGGGCTAGAGATATGGCTCAGTGGTTAAGGGCACATATTGTTCTTGCAGAGGATCAGAGTTTAATTCCTAACACCCACATCAGGCAGCCCAAATTGCCTGAAACTTTCAGCTTCAGAGAGCCTACATTTCTCTGACATCTTTGGGCACATGAGTACATTCACATAAATAAATAATAAAATATTACCCAGGGATAGAGATCTAACTATTACAGTTAAGAACACTGGCTCAGCAAGGAGGTGGTGGCGAATGCCTTTAATCCCAGCACTCTAGGAGGCAGAGACAGGCAGATCTCTGTGAGTTGGAGGTCTACAAGAGCGAGTTCCAGGACAGGCTCCAAAGCAATACAGAGAAACCCTGTCTCAAAACAAACAAAAAAGAACACTGGCTCAATTCCTAGCAACCACATGGCAGCTCATGATGGCATATGACTCCAGTTCCAAGGGATCCAACCCTGTCTTCTGCACAAGGCACACACATATTATGCAGATATACCTGCAGGAAAAACACTCACACACATAAAAATATATAACCTGCCTATAGGCAAGCATCTCTCTTTATGAGTTTGTGGTTGGTCTGGGCTACATGCCAAGTTCCACGTCAGCTGTGGCTACACAGTGAGACGTCTCAAAAAAAAAAAGTTCCATTTCATAAAACCTCCCTGCTTGAAGACTTAATTTTAATTCGGTTTCTAGGTAGCCGTCTGATCATTAGAATGCCCTTAGTTATTTTGAACCCTGTCTCACTGAGTCTCCTACTGGCCTACTTCTATCCTCTTGGACCTCAGAGCTGTGCCTGCCTCACCTTCCTAATCCACTGCTTTGGGGCTGGAGCTGAGTCACATATTCCCATGATCCTTTCCAACAGAGGCTTAAGATGAAGCAAAAAGAACTGGAGGCCAAGGTGCTGGCCCAAGAGGCACTGGATCCAAAGGAGAAAGAGAACATGCATCTCCAGCCCCTTCCCTCTTGTACAGGCACAGTGGCAAAGCCCCTGAAAAAGGCTGTGGTGATGCCCCTGCAACTGAGTAAGTTTGGTCCCAGAGTCTAGTGAGACCCAGCTGTGTCAGAAATGAAGAGATGTAAAAGAACAGCTATCCCCGTCACTCACACCGTCCCACTGGATCTGAACAAGCCCTGGATGCTTGTCATGCAGGGTACTGGCTGAATATGATGGCACCCACCTGTAACCCCAGCACTCGGGAGGGGGAGGCAGAAGGATTGCTCTAAATTAATTCCAAAGTAGCCTTGGTTATAAAGTGAGACAGTGTCTCAAAAAAAAAAGGCACTTAGAAACAACAAAAGCTCAGGTTAGAGAAATATGAGAAGCAATTGGCTACCAGGGAGATAGGACGGGAAGGAGGTTGCCTATGCCCTGACCAGTTCCTAATTCCTGCTTTCAGTTCAGAAGCAGACAGAGTCAAAGATCCATATCCTGAAGAGAGGCCACAAAAGAAAGGTGAGCCTGACCCCATCCAGGTTTTCCAGTGGGGAATCTCTTGCATATGGTGATGTCTTATAAAGGTCCTAGATGAAATGTTGGGTGTATTTAGTGGAGTGGGTACCCACCATTTGTCATTCTTCCTTTGTGATTGATGCTCCTTGCACTTGAGATTGGATACTGGCTGGATCTACTGTATAGCACAGCTCCTGCCTCTGTAAACTGTAGAGCCCATTTAGGGAAATTTTTAAGAATCTCACACAGAAGGTCTTCTGTGTGAACAGAACTGCCCCAAACTGTCAGGATGAGGTGTGGTGCTTACTGTTTTCTTTTTTCTCCTGTACTGGAGATTGAACCCCAGTCCTCAAGCATGGTAGGTACTTAAATGCTCTACTGTTAAAACTATAAATTCCTAGTCAGTCGGTTTTATTCATCAGATCTTCATGGTGAGTGAGAAAGATGCTAGTAATTTTACAAATCCAACAAAAAGTACCAGAGGGGGAGACTGGAGAAGGTAAGGTTAGGCGTTTGGTCTTGGCACAATCATCCACAGGCTTTTGCTATCATTTCTGCTAACTCATAGTCGGAGCCATCACATGTGTCCGAGCCTGTGGAAAAAGCTGAGGATTGCTGGGAGCTACAGATTAGCCCAGAGTTACTGGCACATGGGCGCAAAAAATTATTGGATTTGCTGAATGAAGGCTCAGCTCGGGATCTGCGCAGCCTGCAGCGCATTGGCCAGAAGAAGGCCCAGCTCATCATGGGCTGGAGGGAGCTCCATGGTCCCTTCGACAAGGTAACAACCTAGGGAAGGCAGGTGGAGAGGAGTGCCCAGGTTCTTTGTCCACCTCCTTCCTATTGCCGCTGTCCCACTAGGTGGAGGACTTGGAACAGGTGGAAGGCATCTCTGGAAAGCAGGTGGAGTCTTTCCTGAAGGTAGGAGCACCTCTGACCTTTTTCTACCAGCCTACATGTTGTGCCCCAACCCAGCCCTCCCACAGCCACCCCATCCTACTCCTCCTAGCTGCTACACTGACTCACTTTCTTCTTCTTTACAGGCGAACCTCTTGAGCTTGGCTGCCGACCAGCACTCTGGTCCCTCCTGACTACCAGCTCTTAACACTACCATTTTCTTTTAAAAATCCTTGTAGAATGATGTTTGTGTAAATACAGTTTTTATTTCATGCTTTAGCCTGGTTTTTAGGGATGACGGGGCTAGGGTGGGAGCCACAACTGCCCTGGGGATCAGGATCATGCTCTGCGGAACACTTATAAGGTCGCCATCTTTGGGAAACCCCGAACTAGTCCAAGATTGTAAATAAACCACCGGAATGGGAAGGGGACGGTGGCCTAGACAAATCAAAAAGCTGAAGCGGAAAGCTTAAGGACAACGACCGTTAGGCGGGCACGCGCTTCTAGTTTGGCCCCGCCCCACTGTAACTCTCTGGGCGCGCTCCCCATCCTGTTCTGGACGACGTCGGTGTTGTGTGCGCGTGCGCGTGCAATAACGGCTGCTGGCAGAGGGAAGTGGGGGGGGGATCGTTGAAGTGGGGGAAGAGAAGCCGCCTAGTCTCCCGCGCGCCCACCACCTGCACCACCGCCAACCAATCAGCAGCCGTCTCGAGGGTCTCGCGCTTGGGGCGACTCGGGCTGCTGGGTGACTCCCCCGTCCCTCCTCCCTCCAGAGTCCCTCCCGTGCCTGCCCCCTCCCGCTGGCCCCGCGCGCACTCGCGCTCGCGCCCGCTCCAGCCTCTTGTGTGTCCTCGCGCCCCCCGCCCGCCCTCCGGCGCGCAGTGTGCTCCGCTCCCCCACCCTCTTCCCCCCTCCCTCCCTGCGCGCCGCCTCCCCAGGTCCCCCTCCCCCACCACCGCCTCCTCCCGCCCCAGGGTGAGCGCGAGCCACCTCCCTCCTCCCTCCGCCATGGATCCCAGCAACTGGAGCAGCTTCATCTTCCAGGTAACAACCCCCGCCCCCCCGCCCCTGCCCCCCCTCCCACACCCCCTCCTGCCCGCCCTCCCTCCCGTCCCACCCCCCCTCCGCGCGCCCGGTGCGCGCGCAGCTGTCCCCCTCCCTCCCTCGCGCCCTCCCCCGCCCTCCCCGAGGCGCCAGCTGGGCGCGCGCGCGGCGGGGGCCGAAGCTGCTCCCTCGCTCCCCCCACCCCGCCCCGCCAGGCTCCAACTGCCGCCACCGCCGCCGCCGCCGCCGCCCGGGCCCCCGCCCCCGGCCCCGGCCCTCGGCCCCGCGGGGCCTCTCGCCCCCACCCAGGGGGCGTCGCCGCCGCCGCCGCGCTCCGCGCCCCACAAGACGCCCTCCTTCCCTCCCTCCCGCCGGCCGGGGTGCGCGGGCGGCGGGGCGGCCCTCGGGCCATGCATTCGGCTCGGCCCAACCCGGCCGGCCGGGGGCGGCGCCCCGAGCCCGGGCCCCGCGCGGCCCGTGCCCCCGGCTCCCGCTGAGCTCCGGGGGCCCCACTGTGGCCGAGGCCATGTTCCCCGTGTTCCCTTGCACGCTGCTGGCCCCCCCCTTCCCCGTGCTGGGCCTGGACTCCCGGGGGGTGGGCGGCCTCATGAACTCCTTCCCGCCACCTCAGGGTCACGCCCAGAACCCCCTGCAGGTCGGGGCTGAGCTCCAGTCCCGCTTCTTTGCCTCCCAGGGCTGCGCCCAGAGTCCATTCCAGGTGAGTAGGGGCCGGGCCGGGCGGGCAGGCGCCGACCAGCGACCGCGGCCCACACGGCGCCTTGTCTCTGCAGGCCGCACCGGCGCCCCCACCCACGCCCCAGGCCCCGGCGGCCGAGCCCCTCCAAGTGGACTTGCTCCCGGTTCTCGCCGCCGCGCAGGAATCGGCCGCGGCGGCTGCGGCCGCGGCGGCTGCTGCCGCTGCAGTGGTTACTGCACCCCCAGCCCCTGCTGCCGCCTCCACAGTGGACACAGCGGCCCTGAAGCAGCCTCCGGCGCCTCCTCCGCCACCCCCTGCCGTATCCGCACCAGCCGCGGAAGCCGCGCCCCCCGCCGCGGCCGCCACCATCGCCGCAGCGGCTGCCACCGCTGTCGTCGCCCCAACCTCTACAGTCGCTGTGGCCCCTGTTGCATCTGTCTTGGAGAAGAAGACAAAGAGCAAGGGGCCCTACATTTGCGCCCTGTGCGCCAAGGAGTTCAAGAACGGCTACAATCTCCGGAGGCACGAAGCCATCCACACAGGAGCCAAGGCTGGCCGGGTCCCTTCGGGTGCTATGAAGATGCCCACCATGGTGCCCCTGAGCCTCTTGAGCGTGCCCCAGCTGAGCGGGGCCAGCGGGGGAGGGGGAGAAGCCGGGGCTGGCGGAGGCACAGCCGCCGTGGCGCCCGGTGGCGTTGTGACCACGACTGCCTCTGGAAAGCGCATCCGGAAGAATCACGCCTGCGAGATGTGCGGCAAGGCCTTCCGCGACGTCTACCACCTGAACCGACATAAGCTGTCGCACTCGGACGAGAAGCCCTACCAGTGCCCTGTGTGCCAGCAGCGCTTCAAGCGCAAGGACCGCATGAGTTACCACGTGCGCTCACATGACGGCGCTGTGCACAAGCCCTACAACTGCTCCCACTGTGGCAAGAGCTTCTCCCGGTGTGCAGGGGCCTCGGCTGCCCACTAGGCCGATGGTGGGGGGAGGGCAACTAGGTGGCCTGTCTTTGGCTGGTGGGGAGGCGGCTCCCGATGCTGGGGACAAGAACCACTCCCAGGGAGGAGGGAAGTGAGCCTCGTGGTTACTGGGAGCAGGGGGTGGTACTTTAGAGGAGGAGGGTCTTTGGGCTGAAGGAAAGCTGCCTCTGGGCAGAGATAGAATCCTGTTTGGAGCGATTTCCTGCTTAAGGACCGAAGCTGGAGGGGGAAACGCTGAGGCTTTTGGAAAGGCACTTTGGAGAAATTTAGGTAGATTTGAGGCACACCTCACCTTGGAGCCTTAGCCCTAACCCCCCCCCCCCACCTCAACATATCCCTAGGCCGGATCACCTCAACAGTCACGTCAGACAAGTGCACTCAACAGAGCGGCCCTTCAAATGTGAGGTAGGAAGCCCGCTGCCTTCTGTCCTGGTTGTCATGATTTTGCTCCTCATTGTAGCTGTCTGGGTTCAACCTCTCAGACCCCCTTTTTCTCTCTCTTTTTGCCTTTTCACTCCATTTTCACATTTCTCCTTCAAGGCCTGGTCATCTCACGCCCATTTCCTACAGATCAAAGGCCCCCAAGGCTCTGATCCCATTATCTTGCCCCCTTCTCTCTACTCCCCGAAGCTTTAACTCTCCTGTGACCCCCACGCCCTCCCCCCCAGAAATGTGAGGCAGCTTTTGCTACGAAGGATCGACTCCGAGCGCACACAGTACGACACGAGGAGAAGGTGCCATGTCATGTGTGTGGCAAGATGCTGAGCTCGGCTTATATTTCGGACCACATGAAGGTGCACAGCCAGGGCCCTCACCATGTCTGTGAGCTCTGCAACAAAGGTACATGCTAAGGGATGCCAAGAGGGCAGGGACAAAGTGGGAGTGGGTGGGCACAACACTGTTGGTTCTTTTCACGGATGCGGGTTAAGGATGCTGTAGCCAAGAGCTCGTGGCATGTAGAGAGAGCCCTTTAAGAAACAAGCACAACAGCATTGGAAGTAACTGAACACTAAATTCTATGCCATGGCTCAGAGGAGACGGTTTACCGAGAGTCCACCTCCTGGGTGTGCCTGGGGGCATGAATGGGACATGGCTGCTTTGTGAAAGGAGGACTCAAGCCAGCTCCCAGGGCTTCAGCTTCACAGCCACAAGTTCTTGTCTCCAGCTCCTGGGGCAAGTGGAAGACATCAGCACGGGTGTGGCAAGCACACACCCTGCCCTGTAACTCACTGTACAAGCTGAGACTGGAGCACTGGAGAGGGGGGGGACACAGCCGTCTCCACTGAGAGTCAACCCTTGAAAAGGCTAGGCAGCAGTGTCCTGTCGTTTGGGAGAGATCTCCCAGTTACAGGGGAAGTTCTCTGTAGGCTTTATTAAGGATTAAGAAACAGGTACCATGCAAACCAGACCCCAAGCTCAGGGAAGGGCTATGTCCCAGTGGAGTAGTTGGCCCCAGCCTACCAAGGATGTGGGAGGAGGACAGTGCCATGTGAGGAGGGTGTCCCCAGCCTAGGAGAACAGCCCTGTCTCTGGGGTCTCCACCAGGCTGACCCCACTCCCCACCCCAATCCCCCCACCCCCCATAGGGTTCACCACAGCAGCATACCTGCGCATCCACGCGGTGAAGGACCATGGGCTCCAGGCCCCGCGGGCTGACCGCATCCTGTGCAAGCTGTGCAGCGTGCACTGCAAGACCCCTGCCCAGCTGGCCGGCCACATGCAGACCCATCTGGGGGGGGCCGCCCCTCCTATCCCGGGAGATGCCCCCCAGCCACAGCCTACCTGCTGAGGGGGACCCCTGCACCCACCAGGCAAGGCGTGGGACATGGCTGGGGGGGCAGGATGGGATGTGTGGGACAAGGGAATTCAAAGGGCCCAATAGGGGATCTCAGGAAGGCCAGGGATGCCAGTTTGTCACTCAGATTAGGGAGACTTGGGGTCCAGAGAGGGCAGTATAGAATTGCTATGTGGGTAAGTCAGGCAGGCCAAAGTCTCTGGGGGCCAGATAGGAAGTAACGGCTGTGTCCCAGGGGAAGTAGGGAAATAGTTGGAAAATCTGGGGTATGGAACATGTTTCTTGCCATTCAGATTGTGCTGTGATCCTTGATGTTTCTCACTGTAGGTACTGGTGAGGTTTGTCCAATGGCGGCAGCGGCGGCAGCAGCAGCGGCGGCGGCAGCAGTGGCAGCCCCTCCCACAGCTGTGGGCTCCCTCTCTGGGGCAGAGGGGGTACCAGTGAGCTCTCAGCCACTTCCCTCCCAGCCCTGGTGAGCTCCAAGTTGATGGGAGAGAGGGGAAGAGTGGAGGAAAGCTCTTCTTGGTACAGTTTCCTCTTCCCACCAACTCCTCACTGCTCGCCATCAACCAAGGAGCCTCCAGACAGAGGAGGAAGAAGGAATTCACTAGGTTTTAACAATGTTTCTCCTGCTCCTTTCTTCTCCCTATCAGAGCTGACCCTCCAAACGCCTGTCCCCTGAGTTGTGTTGAAGTCCCCTGGACAGTGAGCAGGGGTGGCAGAGGACAGCAGCAGCCACTGCCCTCACCCTTTAAACCCCTGCCTTTCCTCCCAGGGATTTGTGAGCCTTTCCCTAGAAGGTCCTGTGCTCTCCTCCTAAGTCCCCTCTCCTACTGTCTGCTGCCCCTTCCTGGGGAGTTGGTGCTTTCTTTTTTTGTTGTTGTTTTTTCCCAGGGGGAGGGAGGAGAGAGAGGAGGGGGACTAAGACTCTGTCCCAGAGGAGGGATACAGTGGTATTGAGGGCAGAGGGTTACTTTCAGTAAGGTAGGGTGGATAAACACTAAACATCCTACTAGATAATCTGTCCAGGGAAAAGCCAAGGGGAGTGTCAGAAGGAGCCACTCGGACCAGAGGCGGGACAAGAAAGATGGAATCTTAGGGGGCCAGGGTAAAGGAGGAGAGCCAGGGACTAGAGGTGCTTCCCAGGGGTGGGGGAATGCAGCCACGGTATCTCCCCCTTCCCTCTTCCACCCCAGCTCCAGCCCTGGTCTTTTCTCCTCTTTCCCACAACAGAAGCTGTGGCCCTGGCCATGTCATCGTGTTCCTGTGTCCCTTGCATGTTCCCTCCCTTCCCCTCCCTCCTTTTGCGCAGACCCCATTACAATAAATTTTAAATAAAAATTTGTCTCTGGGTTCTAAAGTTATCGTCACCAAGTTCCCTGTCTGTGTGTGAAGAGGGCATTCTTTGTTGCCTTCATCTTAGTCCCAGCTTTTCTTGCCCTGCAAGTAGTGACTCCCCTCCTGAGGTGCAGCCTCGAGCTACAGCACAGATTAGGGTGTACTCAAGAATGCAGAGGCTTTGGAGAGCAAGCTGCAGGTCTCTAGGGAATACCCATACCCACTGGATAGCCAGCTATTCATGCTATCCTTCCACAACCCAGCAGCAGACTGCACAGAACCCTACCAGATGTCTGCACATTTAGATCTCAAGAGGCCATGGTTGACACAGATGCAGAAAGGTTGGGTAAACTATTCGGTTCCACCATGGTGGTCATGGGCTGCTTGCCCTATCTGTTCTAAGGTATCCCTGTGCAACTGCCTGGCTTGCTGAAATTGTTTTTCTGGGTTTTTCTCAAACCTTTCCAGAGACCCTCCCTTAAGCATTGCTGCTGCTCTCCTGGAGTAGGGAGGCTTCAGGTTCTGCAGGCTCACTTCTCTTGTAACCCTATGTGGTACCCCTGCAGCCACCCCAAACTTAGACCTGTCTCCTTAACCCATCTGTGCTGCTCGGGGTGCCTCCTCCCAGCCCTCACTGGTCGGTTTCACAAACCCAGGTCTGTGCCAGGATCCCCCGGTGACCGTTGGCGGGAGGGGCCGAGGACTTAGGAAGGGGGTGCCCCACCTGGAGGTGCGCGTGAGAAAGGTCAGGGAGGGGGCACGAGTGGTCCCCGGGCCGGTTACCCAGGTAACACGGGGCCTGGCACGAGGTTCCCTTGGGCTGTCCGGGAGGGGCAGGAGGCGTGCTAGGGGCGGGGGCGGCGCGGCAGCAGTGCAGCTTAGGGGAGGGGACCAGAGAAGGGCCGAGCAAACCCGGAGGAGAGAGGAGGGGAGATCCGCCACCTCCCTTCATTGCTCACAGACTTGTTCCCTCCCTGTCTGCGGCTGCTGCTGCAGCAGTGGCGGCGGGACGCAGGAGCAGTCCCGAGGCTGGCAGCGGATGAGACTGGGATGAACTGAGGCCGCTGGTAGGAGTGGACGACAGACAGCTGGGTGGCATGGGAATGCAGGTGCCAGGCGAACTGGAGGGTGGTGCTGGGTGCGCCATGCAATCGGGAGAGGATCCCCTCCCCCTCAGCCTCTCCGAAGGCAGCAAGGGAACCCCTAAAAGAAGGGCTGAGAAGGGACACACAAGATGCTAGGTCTCTCCAGAAAGGGGCGGGGAGGAGGTTGGGGGTAGGCATTTGATCCCAAATGCGCAGCAGGAAAACCCGCACTGCTCAGGTGGTACCCAGAAAGGAGGGAAGGGTACAAAAGGAACGGAATGTGTGGGGTTCTCTGTCAGTCTGCCTGTTGGAGTGTCTGTTATATACCCGATTTTGATGAGCGGAGGCACCTCCGAGGTGGGATCTGAGAGACTGGGTCTTTTTGGGTGTGTTGGATGGATCCAGGAGCAGGTCTAGAGGGGTTCTGTCTAGAGAGGGGTTAATCTTCCCAGGGCTCTCCAAGCAGACTTTAGGTAGACTTCACCAAGGGCGTCCCACCTCAAAGCAAAGGAAACTCCAACTTTTCCTCATCTCCCTAGGGACAGTACAGGCTAGCCTTGGCCTCCTCACCAAGACTGTCCCCTCCTCTTCCAGGATTTGCCACTGTCACTGCTGTCTCCTCTTCCCCACGGGCTCTCTCCTATCTCCCTTCTCTAAGATGGCAGCCAGCAGTTCTGAGGTCTCTGAGATGAAGGGGATAGAAGACAGCTCCAAGACCCAGAGAGACGGACCTGGCCATTCTGAAGCTGACCCAAGTCCTGTTCAGGTTGTAGCAGAGATTCCAGAGCCAGGGGCCCTTCACCAAGGCCCTGGCGTCATTGCAGCCCCTGTGGACTCAGGGCCTAAGCCTGAGCTGGCCCCAGAAACCACAGAGACCCCAGTTGAGGCCCCAGAAATAGTCCAAGCCACAGACCTCAGCTTAAACCCAGGCGAAGAATCCAAGGCCAGCCCTAGCCCCAAAGACGCATGCCAAGAGCCAGCATCCAAAGCAGATGTGAACAAAGAGGTTGCAGGGCAGGGGTCTGAGCAGCAGTGTGCAGCCCCTCCTGAGCCAGTCTCAGAGCCTGCTCTCCACCTGAATACCCAGTCAGACCCTCAGCCAACTTCCCAGCCTGCTCCTAAGCTACCCCTTCAGCCAGAAGCCCGCACCCAAGAGGACCCTACCACTGAGGTCCCGACAGAAAGTATAGGGGAGAAGCAAGAAAATGGAGCAGTGGTTCCCCTTCAGGCTGGTGATGGGGAAGAGGGCCCAGCTCCCCAGCCTCACTCACCACCCTCCACTAAAACACCACCAGCCAATGGGGCTCCCCCTCGGGTGCTGCAGAAGCTGGTTGAGGAGGACAGGATAGGAAGGGCTCATAGTGGGCATCCAGGATCTCCTCGAGGTAGTCTGAGCCGTCATCCCAGCTCCCAGCTGGCAGGACCTGGGGTGGAAGGGGGTGATGGCACCCAGAAACCTCGGGACTACATCATCCTTGCCATCCTGTCCTGCTTCTGCCCTATGTGGCCTGTCAACATTGTGGCCTTCGCTTATGCCGTCATGGTGAGCCCCAAGGGACCCTGGCCCAGGCATACTGTGGCTCCCGGCTTCCCACTAGTGTCGGAATAGCGTTCCAGTAATGACACACTCCCTTACCTCTTTCTGCATGCACCCCACTTTCCCCATTGCTGGACCTTTGCTTGCCTCTCCCCAGGACCTAACCCTCCAAGTCACTCCTGCCCCATGCCTTCAAACGGGAGGGGAAAAGAAAGATGTTTCATATAACCTCGCTGACCTGTGCCCTCTTCCTCCTGCATTCCCAATCCTCCTTCCTTTCTTAACCCCATGGGGCTGACCTCCTTCCTCTGGAATCTCACCTGATCCTTGCTGGGATGGCTCCTGTTGACCTGGGCCATGATACCTCCAAACCCCCCTGCCACCCTCACCCCAGTCCCGGAACAGCCTGCAACAGGGGGACGTGGATGGGGCTCAACGTCTGGGCCGAGTAGCCAAGCTCTTAAGCATCGTGGCGCTGGTGGGGGGGGTCCTCATCATCATCGCCTCCTGCGTCATCAACTTGGGCGGTGAGTGGGGGTCGGTCGGGGACAGGAAAGGGAGGAGCGGAAGGGTTGACAAGGGCAGCTTTACTAACCCTGGCCCTGCTCTCTCCTGTCTGTCCTCCCTATTTCTGTCTCTTCCTGTCTCCTTCCCTGTTTGTCTTTCCCTCTCCTCTCCCACAGTGTATAAGTGAGAGGCTCTGCCCTGCATTCCAAGACTTTCCTTCCTGTTGGGAGCTGTCTTGGGTCCATCCCTACCCTGGGGGAAACACAGTCCATGGCCCTGGCACCCATCCCTAGGGACCAAGGGAGCCTGAGCAGCCTTGTTTACAGCTTCTTTCCTGCTCCTGCACCCTGCCAGGCTCCACTGCCAGCCACAGGCTTCCTTTCTCCCTGCACTTTTGCCTGCCATCTCCCTTCTTGTCTCTTGACCTCCCTAACCCTGCACTCTGAAAAACCTCTCTGCACTTCTGGAAGCCTTCCTGAACACCTAAATTGTACTCTGCACCCCTGCATCTCTCCCAGCCCACTGCACTTCTTCCTGCCTCTGTGCCCCTGAACCTTAACTAACCCCCACCTAACTTTCATTGTCTTGGCATCTAACTCATTCTTTTCTTCCCTTCCTTAACATCTTGCTCCCCTTGCTGCCACACCCTCTGACCCCTTCTGCCTTCTCATCTTCCTGTTAGCATCTTCACCCTCCGGCCACCATTTATTCTGCAAAACCTGCAGTCCTTAGGTCAGGCTGGGGGAGAAGGACAGTGTGGGGAGAGGGGGCTGCCTAGCTAGGGCTCTGACTGTTCTCTACTGGGGACCATCTGGGCCCAGACCATACCCTGATCCCAATCCCTAAGGTGCCTCTTGGGTCGCAGAGTTGACAAGCCAGGCCTCACCTGGGGAGCTTGCACGAGAGTGTGGGAGTCCTCATCCTGAACATCCAGGGGAGGAAGGAGTGCGGCAGCAGTCGAAGGGTCAGCCTGAGTTGACCTGCCCATTCGGGCTTTTTAACCTCAGAGTTTTCTGTTTGAAGGTCTGAGGAGTTTGGGCCAATCACTTGCTTTGTAAACAGTAGAATTAAAAAAAAAAAAAAAGAAAGAAAGAAAAGAAAGAAAGAAAGAAAGAAAGAAAAAGGACCAAAGTTCCCAGCTGCAGGGAGCGAGGGAGGGGTGGGGTAGCTCTGTAATTATTCTCTGAGAGGATAAGGAAGGTTTGTTGCACGCCACAGTCCTCTGAAGAGGCAGGGAATCAGCTGCGATGCATTTCGGAGTTGGGGTGGGGGGTGTTTCCTTTAAGAAAAAGTTGGGAGAAACTAAAATTCCTTTTAAAAAAAATCAAACGGGGTCTCCCTTTTTGTATGCTGAATGCTGCATGAGTCTTAAACACCAATAAACGGAGAATGCATGAGACTCGCCTCAGTTGGTCCCCTGTGTTCGTTTGCAGAGTCAAGGCACTGCTTTCTGGCAGGCCTTAGTGAACGAAATACGCATGCGCTGCCGCAGTGGCCATCTTTGGTGTGGGCCGAAGCTAGTGACGCTACAGGCCCATCTGCGCATGCGCCAGCCTTCTCTTTCCTCTTTCGAGTAGCTCTGGTTACATGGAGTGTCCGCGCGCCATTTCTCTGCGCCTGCGTGCTGCGACCCTGCGCAGCCGGGGAGGCGGGTTTTAGCTCCAGGTTGTGCGGCTGCTGAGTTGACGAACTAGGTCTGCGAGGTTCAAGGAAATGACTCCGGTCCAGGTGTTGGAGAGAGCGATGTGAAAGCGAGAAAGCAGGCCCTTCCCTTTCCAGCTCCGAGCGTGGTTTCTGCGGGTCCCGGGGAACGGCAGGATTCTGGATCTGGATCCGTGGGGTGGGGTCTGTCCTTGCCGGGATCTGAGCGCCCCCTCCTGGGGACGGTTCTCTGGCCGCAGTCAGGGTTGAACTGACTGGTTGGAGATTTCGTAAACCCCAGGGGATTTCAGTCCTTTTGGGGGAGGCACCCTGGTCTCCTACTCCAGAATCTCGTATATTGCTGGGCTTCTCTAGTACTCTATGTCCCTGGGCCATGGAACCATTGCAGGCAGCACAGCGGCGCCTCTGTCTGAAGAAGGGGAAGTGACTTCCGGCCTCCAGGCTCTGGCGGTGAAGGACACCGGAGGTCCCTCTGTCTCGGCTAGTAAGGCCGAGGAAGAGGGGCAAGGAGGTCGGGAGGAAGCCGGGCGTGAGGGATCCAGGGCTGAGGAGGCACTAGAAGCTCCCAACGCTGCGGGCGAGGAGCGCGCCGAGGGAGAATCCGAAGACTGGTGCGTGCCCTGCAGCGATGAGGAGGTGGAGCTGCCGGCCAATGGGCAGTCTTGGATGCCCCCACCCTCCGAAATCCAGAGACTCTATGAACTGCTGGCTGCCCAAGGTACCCTGGAGCTTCAGGCGGAGATCTTGCCCCGCCGGCCACCTACTCCTGAAGCCCAGAGTGAAGAGGAGAGATCAGATGAGGAGCCGGAGGCCAAAGAGGAGGAGGAGGAAAAGTGAGGCCATAACTTTACACATTGCCCCTGGGACTGTTCTCCTGAGCACAGAAACGGGAGGGGGGGTGCACCAGTAGGTGTTTGGGAGGGCCTCCCTCACCCTTCATTCTCTGTTCACTCTGTCTCAGGCCACACATGCCTACAGAATTTGACTTTGATGATGAGCCAATGACACCGAAGGACTCACTAATTGACAGAAGACGTACACCAGGTAGGAGTCAGAGGGATGAATTGAGGGGAGGTCCAGGGCCTCTTCTGCGTACCCCAAAGTGGTACCTCAGCTGTTGTGAAACCAGCTGCAGGCGGGAGCATACACAAAGTTGCAGGGTATTTCTGGCTTATAAGAGACCCACAGACCTTCCTATCAGGTTGCCTGTGCCTTTCACCTTATTCCCAGAAGTCCAAAGTCTGCTGGTCATTATTCTCTAGAACACACCCCCAGAACTGACCTGCTATCCCAGCCACATGACCCTGAGACCTTGCTCTCAGAATCGTTGCGTTCTCTCCCAGATGGTCAAGCCAACAGCAAGTTAGCTCGGTGTCTGCAGATTTACCTTTAATACCATCTCCTGTGGACAGTTTCCACAGCTCTGACTGGTCTACCTGCCTCTGGTCGTGGCAACCAGAGTAGCCCTCCAGAGGGTTCCATCACAGGGAGCATGCCCAGGGAGAACCTAAGTTGTCTGTCCCCTGTCCCCACCCCCAGTGCCACAGGACCCTTGCACTTGTATCATCCCCCTCCCCCCCCTAGTATATTCCCAGCCATCACGTTATGGGTGGCAGCCATCCTGTGTGCTGAGGCCTAAAATGGACGTGTTCAGCAAGATCTCTATGTGTAGGCTCACCGTCTCAATCCTGTCTCATTTCCTACCTTCTTAGGAAGCTCAGCCCGGAGCCAGAAACGTGAAGCCCGCCTGGACAAGGTCCTCTCGGACATGAAGCGACATAAGAAACTAGAGGAACAGATCCTTCGCACCGGGAGAGACCTCTTCAGCTTGGACGCAGAGGACCCCAGCCCTGCCAGCCCTCCGCTCCGATCCTCCGGGAGCAGTCTCTTTCCCCGCCAGCGGAAGTACTGACTGTTGCTGCCAGGGCCTACAGGTGCAGACTTTTTCAGCTGGGCCTGGCCAGCCCTTCCCAGCCCAGGCTCTGGGAAGCTTGTCACAGAGAAGAGCTACAAGCTCCCAGTGCAGTGCCTTGCGGGAGAGTGTATGTTCAGTTGAATGTCTGTTTGCAGTTCTGAGCTGGATTTGATGAGCCTAATAAAAGATGCAGAATGATTCTCTTAGCAGAGACTGCCACTGAACCCACCAAGCATGTGCTCTCACTTGGGCAGAGGCAGAACTGTATTTCTCCACATTGGAATAGTGAAGCCTGAAAGGGCAGAGATACCCAGCCATCGTCTGACCAACCTCCCCTCCAATCTGGCCCTCTGACCCACCCTATTCTCAGTCTAGTCCTACCAGTCAGTACTGAGGCAGAAATTGCTGAGTATGGACCCAGCTGCAGTGTCTTCACCTGCAGCCTGAGGGAGGAAAAGATACAGATGCAGGTCCCTTTAAATATCCAAGCTCCGCCCCTGCCAGTCCAGCCCTATGGGGAAGTCATCCCCAGTGTTGGTAAGGGAAATTCCTGACTCGAGGCCTGCAGCAGCCAGCTACACTGCTAAATGTGAGTATGGGAGCAAGACCCTGAACCCCCCAGACTCCAGCCCATGAGTAGTGGTGTCTGCCCCACTGGCTGCTTTCCAGCCACTTTTTTCTGGGGCAGATACACCTTAGTCACAAAGGGCAGGAAGGAGGGCGCTGGCAGCTCTGCCTTGGGAGGTTTCACTTTCTAGTTTTCTGGGTTTTGAAACACCCTGCTGATACCTTCACTCCCAGGACCTCAAGCCTCCCTGACATCAGGGTCTCATAGAAGATTGGGGATGAGGGAGTACTTCGGTCAGGCCTGGTTGCACACATTTGTTAACCACCCACTTAGAAGGCTGAAGCAAAAGAGTGCCTTGAGCTCCCAGCCAGCTTAGACACATAGTGAGACCCCTCTTTTTGTTTCTGGTTTGTTTATTTGGCTTTTGTTTTCCATGAGAAAGGGTCTTGTGTTTCCTAAGTGGTTTTGAACTCACTAAGTAGCCCAGGATGACCTTGATCATCTGATCCTCTTACCTCCACCTCTGAGTGAGTGTCTGCCACCACTATCAGTTTTATTCAGTGCTAGGCTTTAAACCTAGGGTTTCATGCATTTTAGGCAAGAACTCTACAAACTGATGGATAGGGTGTAGCTCAGTTTCACAACATAACTACATACCCAAGACCCTGTTTTTGGCCCCTAGCACATTTTTTTTTTTTTCTTTAAAAAAAAAAAAAAAAGCCCATGGGAACCTTGCCAGACACAGTTCACACCTCTGATCCCAGCGGTTTGAGGACAGCCTGAGCTACATTGTGCCACCACTACAGTGTAAGGTCCTATCTCAACAAAAGCTGGTTAGGGAAAGTTGCAGCTTCCATTCAGACTCCGTCTCTGGCCTCCTGCCCTCACTCCCCAAGGACCCGGGCTCTGCTTTCTCTTCCTGAGTGACTGGCATGTGACTTGTCTCTCAATTGTGGGTGCTCTCCTCCTGCCTTGTACAGGGCTGTGCGAGCTGTGTGCTTCAGCCAGTCACTGAGCACTGGCTAGCAGGATGATCGTAAAGGTAGTTTGATTTCCAAAAGGTGCAGAGTTTAGGAAGAACAAGTGTCTTTGGGGGAAGAGGCCGTGAATGATAGTAAGCCCAAATGGACAACCAGCCTGAGATTCTGGGGACTTGGGATCTGAGACTGGAGCCAACTTTGGTAGGAGATGTTGGTTAAGACTACTGTTCCTAATGTCCTCTGCTTCCTACCTGAGGACCCTTGGGACAGGGAAGAGAGGCTGGCCATCACAGGCGTACCAGATGGCTCTCCAGGAAACTATCTACTTATACCTTTGGCACATAAGAGTATCTACCCTACCCTGAGGTGGGGCGGTTGGGTAGGGCACCTACCACCTTGAGTGCCTGGGTGCTGGGTATTCAGATCTCCTGCTTCTCATATAGTACAGGTAAGTCACTAGCTTAGGTTATGGGAAGTGTTCACCCTTGAATGTCCATTGGTGCTATTTCCTGGACAGCAATAACCTCACCCATATCCTCTATGTCCCATGGACTCACGAGCCATACTGCCTCCAATAATGGTGACCCAGGGGAAGCCTGCTCAACCTTCAGGAGCAGAATGACTGAACTAGACCTTGACATCTTAGGCTAGAATGGGTCAATCAAAAGCATTTAAAATGTGATGGGGCAGGTTGTTCCAAGTAGGAGTTGGTGGTGAGGGTTATGCCTCAGATACAAGTTACAGAATTTTCCTGGAAACCTTGATCCTACAGATCCTAAGTAAGGCCCGGGAGACGGTATAGATAGGATTAAGTGTCATCCAGAAGCAAAGTAAGGGAGCATGAGCCTCTAGTCCCGCCTATTTGGGAGACAAAGGCATGGGGTTGTTTTACCCCCAGAGTTCACGGCCAGCCTACATAGGAAAATAAGATGCTCTTAACAAAGTGGCACTTGGAGAGATGCCTGTATGCCTGAGAGGGCTTGCTGCTCACAGGACCCCAGCTGGGTTGCCAGTACCCACGTTGGGTGGCTCAAAGCTGCTTCAACTCTATGGGCTCTGATGCTCTCTTCTGACTTCATGGACACCTGCAAACTTGTACGCACACAGAGAAAAGCAAAAAGAAAAAAAAAAAAAGAAAAAGAAAAAAGTTCCAGGCAAGACTTGTCCAGGAGAGAAAACTTGGCTGTAGATCAGAGGTTCCAGGTCTACTTTAGTCTACACTCTTCACCTTAGGTGATTGGCATTCATTTGTAACATCTTGGAGGCAGACTTCTATATT